CCTGGTTTCTTTCAGGTGCCAGGCTGCCCCAAGACCCTCCCCAGAGCCCCCTGGCATGAGGACATTTGGTAATGCTTCTTTGCTGCCCAGCATGGCTGCCTGTGCAAAGCTGGCGTGCTCGTTGCTAGGAATGCCAGCCTCTGCGGGGCTCTGGCTAATGGACTCCAGGCGACGGCTTTGGAGAAAGTCGTTAACATTTCCCAGAAACCAGCCCCGTTTCTGTAAGGAGCCAAAATACCCTTGAATCAGCTCTGTGCAGTGGCCTTTGCCGAGCGTGTTGGGGCCAGACCCCTCCCGCCATCAATCCTCGCCCCCACTCCTCCTCCTGCTCTGAGATCTTGCTTCCCGACTCGGGGGCTCCGGCATCACCCCCTGGGTGGGCTGGCAGAAGGTGCTGGTACACCAGCATGCGTGGAGAGACCTGGAGGCGTGCTCATCCCGCACACCCATCTTACACACGAGGAAGTGGGGTCACAGAGGACCAGGGTGGGGCGCACTGCCCGTGGGGAGCAGGGGCACAGCCAGAGCTGGAATTCAGGCCTGCGGCCGTCTGTCCCCAGGAGGCACGGCCCCCCACGCCCACCCTGAGCTGTTTTCTGAAGTGCCGGCCCAGTCCCAGGCAGGAAACCTGCTGAAGGACTTAACCCTCTTGTACCTGAGGACAGATCCACTCAGTGTCCTCTGTGGGCGCTGGCTATGCCACCGGACGGGCCCCTCCAGGGGAGTGTGGGATCCCCTCTGATGGACACTCATTTTCTCATGCTCTGAACCCCAAAGCAAGGGTGGGTTTGCTGTGCTCTAGACTTTCATCAGGGCAGCAGTGTCCAGAGCCTCTGAAGCCCTCTCCTGGCCCCTGGTGCTCTGTGGTCACCACAGCCGGCCGGCAGGCTCTGTCTGTTTTGCACAAGTCCGGTGCTCGCTGTGGCCAGCAGGCGCTTTGGCAGACCAGCCCCCATTAGCAGGTGCAGACTGCTCCTCTCAGGCCCCCGGGGGTGCGGGGGTTAAGTCTCCACAGGATCCAGTTGTCCGCAGCCACTGCTGCACAGTCGGATCCCCGGCCAGGGAGCTGACCCCCATGGCACAGCAGACCTCTCCTGCCCCTCCCGCTGCTCCCCTCAGCAGTGTGTTTCAGTCCATCTGCCTATTCTGCGCCTCACTCTGCCTCTGGTGAATCTTCTCACTGCCCCCCC